ATGCAGTTTAAGGAGAGGGAGTTGGGGTATGAGGAAGTTGTGGAATCAGAGTCTGAGTAAATTGAAATGTTGTGATGATGAAGGTCCCCTAATGACTCTGTGATGCCTTCTCTCCTTGAGCACACATAAAGACACTCAACAGCCTCACAGGTATAAATACTGCCATTGAAGTTGATGCAACACACTCTATTTCCTCTTCTATTCACTTCACAACTAGTACATTTCAATTAACTTGCACATGCCACTGTTGTGGTAGATTGTGAGACCTACATCACACTGTCTGCCCATAAGGCCAGCCCAGCAATTTGTCAACCAGTGCAACACCTCCAGGAGTGATGGCAAGCACAACACCCATGTTGACAGTGGCAGCAGCTATGATCAGCACAATTCCTACAGCCACAGGGACCCATGTTGATGGTGACAGAGGCTACAAGCAACAAGGCACCTTCAACCAGAACCTCTGCTATCCACTTGCCTACAACAATACCCACAACATCAAAGTCCACCAAATGGATGTCAACATGGCCATCCTCAATGTGCTGACAGACAAGATCTACATCACTCAACCTCAAGGCTTTGTTTACACAATGCACCTAAACACATCTGCCACCAGTACAAGAGTATGTATGGTCTGAAACAGTCCCCCTACAATTGGAACAAGACCTTTGACAATCATCCATGCACCTCTGGCTTTCAAACCCAATGTAGATCCATGATGATACACAACCATCAACTCCCAATTTGCCCTGTTGACATCTGAGGCTTGAAGCACCTCTTCCAGAGCATCAAGGAATATGTACAGAACGAAAAAGAAGAGGCACATGACAGAGGAGAAGAAGAGGTGCACAACAGAGAAGAAGAAGAGGTGCACAACAGAGGAGAAGAGGCTGCAATGGAGGAGAAGAAGAGGCCATGACAGAAGAACAAGAAGGAGGGCATACCATCTTGAAATCAATAATTCTTATCAATAAATCAATAAATCAAGAATTTAGCAGGATCAAGTTATAGGTGTGCCTTGATAGTTTATTTTTGTAAGTGGTGGTTTGATTTCCATCACATCTGCAAAGGCCGTACACTGTCCCTTGATGAATACACCTCTGATTGATGTTCTCAATTAAGTTAAGTGAAAAATTAAAGGTGAAACATCACAAAACACTGTATTCATCAGAGCTGCCTGCTTGGTTCCTGACCTTGTTGACTCTCACTGCTGTTGTTGTGATGTTTGTGCTTGGTGTCCCTTGAGGTTGATGTTTTTGATTGTTGGGTGACCAGCCAAGGAAGATGCAGGCCACAGCTGGTGTGGCACAAGGAGGCATGTAGTTGAGGAGGGAGGTGGTGTTGTCTTCTCTGGCAACGGCAGTGAATATCCTCTTGTAGAAGAGAGATGCTGAGTAGCAAGGAGATGTACCAAGGAGATGTACCAAGTTGGGGCCTGAGCAGAGGTGGAGAGTATTTGCTGCACCACTTCTTGATTGGGGAGTTTTTTTGCCACCTTTGAAACCTTGATGATGTCTTGGGTGAGCTGAGACTGGTCGTTGGGAATGTAGTGCTTGTTCTCAAAGCCAATGTAGACCATGAACACTCCTGGGGATGAAAGTGTGGCAGAGCCCCAGTTCTGCCACGCCTCAGGGTGTGGCTGTATGGCCCACCAAGAGAAATGCGAGGGAAATGGGATTTTCCCTGGATTTACCACCAGAGATAACTCTCCTATATTATACGTTACCAAGGGGTAAATAAAGGACTTCTTCTGACACCACCAGGACAGGACCTCCCTGAGGCCCATCTACCTGAGACCCAACTGGTCCAGTTCCCCTACTCTCCTACAAAAGGACATCATTGTTAAAAAAATATCATGTATGTGTATGTGACCATTTTGGAGGTGCTGATTACCATTATGCTGGATACATCCTATGCACAGAGTTGGGGATCAGCCTGGAGATCAGCCTCAACAGAGTGTATGGGCTGTTATGCAATGCAGGTCTGATGGAAGCCATGATGCTTGCAAGCTCTGTGGCACTACAGGTCAAGATGATTACCCAAACAACATTGCACACCCAGTTGGTGTCATCCTTGTGGCAAATTGAGTGTGCTGTTGAGACTTGATGATTACTGTCAATGATGACTCTGGCTTGCTGTTGTGGTGGGGCACTCACTATAAACTCATTCCTCCACAACAGTACAGAAGACACTCACCAACATTTATATGCCCATGATCATGACAAGGGAACACCTGCACAAAAAATACTGCAATACAGTGGAAATGAGTGATGAGGAGTGCCTCAGTGATCAACACTTTCAATAACTATTTCAACAGTATTTCAGCCATGTTAAGTTTTTGAAATTTACTCACCTGGGTACCTGTACCACCTGTCAGTATCATCAATCATGGACTTCAGCAGAGAAATCTCTACCTGCACCAAGGTCAGTATGGTTGTGGCCCTGATTTCGCCATTTCAATCCTTCACCACCATCTCCACCATGTGCTCTCCACTCCTGGAGCTGAAGCACCATGGCTGGTGGAGAAAGATAATCTTTGGACAAACCCCCTTGTATGGATAAACAACTACATGCTCCCTGCTGAGGAACCCCTGCCAACAAACTCAATCACTGCTTTGAGTGCAGTTGAGTTAGTGACTCCAGGGAACAACTCCTTCAGCATTCTTGAAATCTGTGAACAACAGCCAAGGCAAAGACTTGCTGAGGATATTGACCAAGAGGTTTAAGGATGGCCAGTTCCTCTCAACTGTGATTCCTGAAAAGTGATGGTGGTCTCTGGTAAACAGACTTTGATTGTTGGTTTGGAATGGAAAAAAAATTGTGGGAAGCAATCATTTACTCCACTAAAGTGTGGCCAGGGTCCAATGGGTGTAGCATATGTGCTGACAGAGGTGGGCAGCACTCATGTGAGCTATGTCATGGAGAGTATATATACCACCTTGGAAGGCATTGTGGCGCACAAAGTAGCTGTTGATGTGCTCAACAACCCTTGCTCAATGCCAGGACAGAATGACATGTGTTTCCATGTCATGGTGGAAGCCCAGATGTGACCATCATACAATGATACCTGTAGGCAATTTGCAAGCACACAGTGAAAGACAGTTGCATATGTGGTGTGTCAGGAGAAGTACCTGACAGGGGAAGTCCAGTGAATGGTTGTATGGTGACAACCTGTTGGACCACTGTATCTCATTCATTGTGTCTAGCAGGAAGACTTGCCTGAAATCACCAAAGCTTAGTTGTGGTGGTACACACAAGGTAGATTCATGTGGTGGACAAAATGAGTGGTCACCTTGGTAGTGCAACATGGCAATGTTCACTGCACATTGGATAGCCTCTTTTGTGCTGCATGTGTCCATGATGGTGACCAGCCACCTCTTCCAACAATCAGTGAAGCCTGTTGATGTCAAGTTTATGATCACCTTTAGCTACCAATTTTTCAACTTCCATTTCTTCCATGATTCCTCCAGGATGCCAGTGATTAGGGACAAGGCTTACCACACCCAAGGAGAATGGTCTGAGCTGTATCAACGCCTCACTTCCATTCCTCAAGGTACTTGTAATATTCTCTTGCTCCAAAAAAGTGCTCACACTCCAAGTTACTTGCTCATGGCCAATTACTGCTTGCACTTTCAGGAGCACCTCACACCATCCCTCCACAACTATTTCCTCCTGAAGTTATTACCAAGTTGGATGAGAACTGCAATGCTCCATTGTTCCTTGACTCTGAACTTGAGGAATGGGCAGACCTCTTTGAAGCTCATGTTGCCTTGACTGCATCTTCCCAGCCCACCTGCAACCTGATGATTTTTGATGGCCTTACAGCTCACCCCATCACTAATCCTCTCCTTGATGGTCCTCTTCCACCTACAGACCAGGGCCAAAGTTGTTCAGTCTCAAACCTCTCCTGATGTTTAATGCTGCAACTTTGATCCTGGTCTGTGGGTTGCTGTGTGTACTGATTCAATACCCAGGACTTTTGGATTGGTAAGATCATCAGTGTCCTTTGAAAGAGGCTCAAGAGCAAGAAGAAGCTGAAAAAAATAGCACCACTGGACCCAGCTCCATCATGGAGATGTCACAAGATTTGCTCTTAGCACTGGAGGTAAGTGTGTTTGATTTTGAATGAAATGTAGTACTTAATAAATCTCACCAATCCTGTACTTTCTTCAGGTTGATGTGACAGCCCAAACAAGACTGCCAGAGAGGAGCAAGTACCCTGCCAACTGCCATGGCCACTGATGAGGAGCTGTTGAAGCTCCTGAAGGAGGTATGCTTTTCATGCTGTTTTTGTGAAGCCAAATTATGCACCACAACTGCAGGACATTCTATCTCCATTGATATCTCCACTTCATGCCTTCTGATTCTTGACAATGCTTCCATCCATCACACTGATTCTGTCCATGCAGCACTTGACCTGCTTTGTGCTGATGGGTTTGACTTTCTTTTCCTCCCCTTACTCTCCCTTCCTCCATCCAATTGAGTATGCCTTCTTGAAAAAATGTCTGCCACACCACCTCCCACAACTGAGCTGAACTTGAAGCCTGGATTGTGGAGGGACTGTGCACTGTGACGCCAGTGGATGCACAGGGCTGGTTTGGGCACATGGTGCACTACTTCCACCAGTGTGCTCTCACTCTCCCCTGCTGCAGCAAGCCCCTTTCTCTGGAGTACTTCACCCCCACACATGAGGATCTGACCTTGCTCAAGCTGCAGTGCCAATGGCATGCCTTCACTACCACAACACAGCTTCCTCAACTGCCTGCGCCTGTGCCAACTCTTCCTCTCCCTCCCTCCTCTTCCTCCTCGTCAGCTTGTGTTCTTCTTCGCCTCCTTTGGCCGATTGGTCAATAAATCAATTTAAAAAAAAAGGCTTTGCGTCCCTGACCACCAGGAATTTCATCCGACTGCCAAAAATAGAAGCCTGAAAAAAGCCCCAACGATCCGCCCCAGTTTTTTTCAGTAACAATAGTCGTTACAAACAGCAAAAGAGAAACAGCACCATGACGTCGCACTCCCTCTCCAACTTCAACAAGGCCCCCGTATGAGTTCTTCTCCAGGCCGCACTGCAGCGAGGCGTGCATACTAACTAATAAGGTTCGACACCCCAGATCCAGAAGTTTGGCACCCAGGCTACAGCGCCCCCGAAGGTGAAGATCTTCAGGTGCGGCGAAAAGCATGACAAGGGGTACGTGGTACTCCTCAATTGATTTATGACTGGGCTGGCTTTGCG